ATTGAGTAAGCGAAACGTAGCCACGTTCCTGACCAACTTTCGAAAAATTATGTTCGCGCTATTGGACCCATTTGGTTGGAACACATCAAAAGGGGCCTATGTCCTTAGGGGGACATTCAAAACAGGGCATTTAAAACCCATTGCTTGACGACACTGATCAAACCCAGGAGAGGAGAGAGACGCTGGGATAACCAAGGTTGCTCACGTCCTCCCCAGAATCCCTTCCCCTCCCTAAGGCTTAGTCCCAAGATCTATGACTGGCTCATTCACTTCAACGTCTTCCTAATAACATGAGCGCCCTTTGAAATTTACTTAATCCACAATAGGGCCAGACCTATGCGATTATCGACAGCCTCATTGGTTTCTACTAGATTTCCCAACCGTGTAGGGAATAGCTTGCGCTGCGCTTAGATTCACGGCATTGCATTAGCATACCCCGAGGGATCACATACCCATCGGGCTTTCATTCCTGCGCAGCCGGATAACTAGCGGACGTAGATGATACGCACGCGGAGCTAACAAGGGAGATCTTTCAGGACCGGCGCTTTTTCAGAATGGTCTTCTGTATATTGTAGGCTCACGTGAGGAACACAGAACCGTGATCCATTTTTCCTGATCACCCCTTGGAACGCGAAAACAGTGGTGAAGAAAGTTCCAGAGTTCGATCCCCGGTGATGAGTAATTTTTGCAATATAGTTTGGCGCGCCCAGATTGCTGCCAGAAGGCGCCATCGTAGAGAATAGATGTCATTGTCGTGTTTTGAGGCAATTTGGAGGCGCCAATGAATTGCAAAAATTTGTCATCACAGAGGATCGAACTTTGGACCATTTCTTCCCCGCTGTTTTGACATTGCGGGGGGCGTTCAGGAAAAATTGACCATGGTTCTGTGTTCCTCACATGAGCCCGTCTAATAACATCAGGAAACCATTGTTGAGCAAAGCTCCTGCTGAAAGACTTCTTCTGTAAGTATATGTCAATTTAAGGACCATTGAAAATTGTTGGCTGTATACAGCCAAGGACACATTCAAAAGCCGCACTTATTTAGTATGAGTGCGAGTTATGTGCACACTCATGAGGTTGTGAGACATTTCAAATCCAGAATACCGGTTCTGAAACAAACTGGCATTACTTCAGCGAAAAAGGAGCGATAGGAGAATTATTTTTCAGCATGTTAGCTTGTTTCCACCGTAATTCACGACACCGCAGCGCGCTGCTGTGCACTGAGACGCGCGTCTCGACCAGGGTGCGGGTACGAGAATCGTTTTACCCCCTATCGCAAGATACGGAGGCATACTCTAAGACCAAGCCTAAGAAGAGGCAGGAACATTGGAGAAAATGCGAGCTGCTCACACGCCCTAGAGTTTCTCCTCCCTGTCTAAAACTCAGTCATGTTTTTAACAAAAAGGAAGACGGCTTCGGGACAGCACAATACTGAGAAAAAGGAGATTTTACGCGATTTTAAACGCATTGCCACCACAATGCCCTGTATCTTGCAATAGCGTCTGTTACTGGTTATACAAACCACAATGAGCATAACTCGCCTTTTCCCAATCCTTCTTCCGCCTTTCTTCACCCTATTACATCTAAGAAAAAGAAAAAGCCAATCTGCTCTAGTCTCACATCTCCCTTACATCACTACTTTCATGTTCCATTACGTCATCGCGCAATAACCGGTAATACATATAATTGCCGAGAGCAAGTAAAAAAGGCACCGCCAAGCGTGTCCGCTTATTATTTTCGCTGCGCTCAAACAAATGCTGCGGCTCCGACTGAAGATCAAATGTCGAGCCGACTGGGCGGTATTCGCCGAATAGAATAGCTCATTCCGGTCAGGTAACCTCACTTCTATTAGCTGTCCATCTGCGACGCGGATGAGAGTGGCCGAGGGACCACGACCTAGTGCTATTTCGAGCGCGCTAATCCCACCGGTGATACCACTCCACTTGTCAATCATCCGGACGCTTAGCTGTACGATACAAATAATTATGTACTCAACATCGATACACGATAAGCTAATCGATTCCGCTCTACCGTAATGCGTGCGGCTATCGTAGTCAATGTGGTGGTGAGAAGATTTATTGGAGAGATTAGGTTTTACGGCCCGATTCTACCGTAACCTCAAGACTATAGGTACATTGTATCGAGATTACTCTCACCAAAACTTAATATCCTTTCCATCATAATCTCGGACGGACACCATTTTCATATCAACAATAAAATGAAGTATTACAGTTAAAAAAGCTAGCTAATGAATCGCCAATCCATTCGTCTACCTACTCGATACCTGTCCTCAAGGAACGCAGCAACAGTCCAGGTCACAGTTGGCATACGAGTTATACTTCCTGCAGCCATCCTCTCCCTCCTTCCTTCCCCCCCCCTCCTCTCCTAACCCTAGGCCCAATCATAGGCTTAGGCATAAACCAAGTGTGTAAGCATAAGCCTTGACCTAAGTCTAAACCCAAACTTAACCTTATTATCGCGCAACTGCGGTGACCTGACCCCAGGAGGAGAAACGCACGTCTCTCCCTCTTCGCCAGCCCTCAGCTCTACTTTGAATTACGAATAAAAGAGTTAAGACCGTTTCTAGTCCTTAGCTGGGCTGAGAGATGGCCAATGGAATTCAAGTTCACATGACCACAATTTTTCCAAGGCTGCACAGCTCTCAAAACTGCTCCATCTTCCAGTTCAGGCGGTAGTGAAAGCACAGAATCTTTCCAAAAAGTTTTGACTCAGCAACAATTTGTTTAACTTCAAATCAATGAGGATAAAAGATATAAGCATGTTTCTAGATGTGCCCTTCTTTCCTCCAGCCTTTTTTTTTCAAGATAACTCTTATTCCTTCCCATCCTAGTGGCTGCAGCAATACCTTATCCCTAAAACACCCAAAACACCCTCATCCAGGAGATACCCAGGAAATCCCCGTAGAGAATTGTTTGAGTTCTTCTGTGCTAAATGAGACTGATGGGAAATTCTATTGGTTAGCCTGATGTTTCGACCTTTTCACCCCCTAAAGTATTTGATTTTGTCATAGAAAAATTCTTTTAGAAAAAGGCGTACAGGTTGCACTTTCTTACAGTTTTGATCGAGCTATTTTTATTTATTATTTTGGAGTTCAGATGCGATGCCCAGAAAAGAGCCATTAAATTGATTTCCCTAGAGAACTTAATCAGAAGCGTCTTCGTGGCTAAAGATACTGCCCAAAAACGTGTACTAAAACACTTCTTCTGCTCCCATTTCCATTCAGGAGATATTGCTAATGCTGCTCTCCCAAATCAGAGGATCAAAGAGCTAACTAGCGTCACAGGTCTATTCATTGTTGAAATGCCCTCCAAGACAAAAAAGGAAATCGTCATGAAAACCAACTCTTAAATCTCCTTCATCGCCGGGTCGTCACAAAATCCTGCTAACTACTCGACGATTTAATCTGCTTAAGTAAGATTCAAGTGACAAGAGGAGTTTTTTAGGGCAGCCGCGCTTTTTCAAAAACGGTTCTTGCACAGATTTATAGGAGACACATCTCAGGAACACGAACAATGTTTCATTTTCGGTGAAGTCAGCGTACCAGTAGTGCCAAAAAAACAAGTGCTTAAGTCTGTTTGATGGTTCCATGCTTCGTTAGCGACTAAAGTTTTTGCAATTCGACTGTCGCCCTTACCGGCGGTTTGGTCCAAATGGCTTAATGTCGAAATCTAGATGTCAATTCTCCCAGCAGTTAGAATGGAGACTCCGAACAAGGCAGCTCAAATGCAAAATTAGTTCGCCACCGAGATGAACAAAACAAAACTATACATCACCGGTTCCTTTTTGTATATTAAAACGGCGTTCAGCCCCGAAAAAAACCTCCCGAAACTAGTTTTAAACCATGCATGCGTCCTACAATATGGCAGGAACCCTCCCCCTGTGAAAAGAATCATAGTCCAGTCCAATAGCGACGACGACATTTCGCGAACTATCTATCGTAAGCAGATTTAAAATTCAGCCATCCACTTACGCAACATTCAGCGCTGAGAATTTCCTGCCCCTGCTGTTAGGACTGCAGGCGCCCCGCTTATGGAAAAGCGAGGAAGATTTCGTCCACAATGAACTATCTCCAGGACGCCTACGTATTCTAATACCACTCAAAAATTGTAATACATTCTTAGCTATCCTAAGCTCACAACGAATAACTGCGAAGCCACTAAATGCCCAAATAAATATTCATAGTACCTAACGTAATTCCTCGCATATATGTATCCCCTACGTAATTCCCTCCTATCCTCTCCCACAGACAATTCGTATTGATATCACGCTACAGCCTCGAGGATCGAAGACCTGCGTGAGCATGATCGAATCACAGATCCGAATATGGTTTCCACATCCTACGGTCCATTGCGCCGCCATAACCAACTCGTCCGAGCCGCACTACAAAGGCATGATGACTATTGATCCTTACAGTATTTTATGAACCTCACAAAAACAACAAGTTGACCACGTTCCCAAAATCAAGGCGTCCTACTTCCAAAAAACACTGCATGCCGTGATTATTGCGCATTCAACTTTCGTCGTGCAGTGTTATTACGTTCTGTGACGGGGTCATAGAGGCCGCGCGCGCATCTGTTGAAACGAAAGGGGAAGTCGTCATAAATCTGGCGCCGCGACTACAAAGCGCACGCGATAACATCAACCGACAATCGTCCATATTGCGGTCCACATATCGGGCCAATACGATTGCCAACGGAAAGGGTTCCTCTCACCAGAAGCCGGCGGTTACTTACTCAAAAGTGATGTGCCCACGGGGACGACAACAACGATTATATCAAGCTCACTAATTCGATAGGTCAAGTATTGTTCACTGGTACAAAGTACCAAAAGTTACAGCTACTCAAACAACTCATTACCATCTTTAAATACATATCAAGGAGACGTTGTTCAGCGTGATGTACTGGCCAAGAAGCTCAAAAAACTGAATCGTGACAGCCGATACCTTGTCAAGTTGCATTGAATCAGGGTAGACCAAATAGCTATTTTCCACTGTAAAAATACCAAACACAAAGAAGTACCTGGTGCAAGACAGAAGCAAAGGCCGTTTTGTGTTCTGCGGAAAGTGCATTGATAATCTCATGCCGATAGTTGAACATTCGTTGGAAAAGAGGAGGTACTTGAGGACCCTAAAATAGATAAATAACTTGAAATTGTGAGCTTTCTGGTACGAGAATAACAAGAATAACACGTGCTAACACCATCGACATTCAACCAGAACGAAGAAAAGAATAACATGGCTCTCATGGTAATACGGCAGTCGACAAGTGTTTTGAATCAGGCCTTCAGTGCCCAATTCAAGATCTGATCGGAACCCCATGGCTTTCCCTTATGATGTAGAACGCCCATTGGATTGGGTCGTAGGTCAAAATTCGAAATTTTTAGGAAGCACAGTCACCAGTTTTTGGCACAGTCACCAAGGAAAAAATGGGAAATGGAGGCTTTCCAACGAGTAGGCCTGCTACTCTGTTGGTCTGAATGCGAAAAGTTTGATAGCGGAGCTCTCCTACTATTATTGGCAGTGTTGACACCTTTCAATCAGTTTCGAACCTTGAATGTTTCTTTATCAAAGATTGAAAATTACCAAGTTATTAGGGTAGATTAAGGCCAAAAAATATCAAAAAAGAACATAATTAAAGCAGGTAGCACATAAAAAAAACTTGCTACCCTAATAAGGAGGGTACAACATAAATCAATACTGAATTATATCGTAATCTCCACTACCTTTAGCCGTTCTGTCTTTCGTCTATTTCGTCTCCGTTTTCGTGCATCACCGTCGTCATCACTTTCAGAACTTGATGAAGTGCTCGATGAGTTCGATGAACTTGACGCTTTCCTTCTTGATCGCTTCTTTTCCTTTCTCTTCTCTCCGCTCTTCTTCAGAATCGATTTCGCCTTCATCCAGCTTAATCAGATCAAAAATAAAATTCAAATTACAAACCAATTATTGGATGAACCTCATCCCACGTAAGAAGCTAGGATGAGTGCTCACGCATTACCATGATGAACGAAGATATTAGGGCACTCAACAGTCCGAGAGGAGGCCTTGCGAATCAACCTATCCTGTGAGCGGAATCGAGTTACCCACGGGGATTGGGCAACTCCTCAATCCCCGTGGGTAACTCGATTCCGCTCACAGATAGATTCAGAACGGCTCAAGATTACGCGACAAAGGCGCTAGGGCCATATAAAATGAGCCAATTCGATCAAATGTGAGAAAGTAGACAAGATTCCTTTTGCTCACCCCCTAGCAGGCAACTGGTACGACGTAGAGTTGTCCTTGTAATCATCAAGGTAAATTACGAGTTATTCCAACAATTCTCAAGTCCTCAAAAAAAACCAGCTCCCTAGATTGCATCGATAGGCATATATACTGGCATGGG